TTCTCATGCAAAGGTCATGAACATGCACGGCTGTCAGACGGGATACAACCATCATCTCCACATTTCGTTGCACAGGCAGACTCGTCTGTCAGGAATTACGTGGATTACAGCAGTGATTCTGCTAACATCTGGATTTGGGGAATTCACCCACACATTTGAATCTGGATCCTTTTGAATTTCGGGAGTGTCAATGACAAACTATGATTCTGGCATTCTGCTTATTTTCAATAGTGTTCAAGCCTGGGCTTTGACCGGGTCTGTCAGGGGATTTAAAAAGCTCCTGGCTATTCTGGCACTATTCTTATTTTGCTGTATTTGAATGCTTAAGGTTAAAGTCAAACAGGGCAATAAAGTGTCTCATTTGTTTTTATGTTTTAGTTGTTTAAAAGGCAGGATTTGTCTTCATATAAGCTCCTTCCTTTTGAAATACACAGGTGAGGAATCAACATTTTTATCTTAAAACAGAAGACACCCGGTCACTGCAGTGGAAAGAAATTGGGATGGAGAAGTTGAAAATGTCGACACTTGATGTCAAAGACATTCATGCAGCTTTCCATTACACAATACAAAGTCATGCCAAAAGTTTCAGGTCATCCCAAAGCAAAAGAGAAGAGGAGCTTGCAAGCAAATGGGGATGTACCAAAACCCTTTATCCCTTCCTGATACCGATACCTCCACCGATCCGATACCAGTGCCTTTGAAAAAATAACTTTCATGATGTGTCACTTCTTCTTTGCCTCTCTATAAACAGTACTTTGAAGCGATGAAGAAGAAGTGATTTCAGGAATCAGGATATTGTAGTTTTATCTGGGTGAAAGTATTATACTTTTAAGATGTGGTATCGGTTTGCATACTCGTTACCCAGCATGTTGGGCAGTAGAGGAGGCATTTCAGATTCCTGTATCTTAACATCTCTGCAAGCAAACATGGATGTAAACAACAAAGGTGTTTCACAAGGAAGAAAATACAAACAAGTCCGTCAGGCAACAGGGAGAAATGTTGAGAGATGTTTTGGTGGGAAACACTGAATAAAGACCAATTCTCTGACCTATCATCTAACCCTGTGCACTTGAATTTGTTTTGGGTACATTGTTTCTGAACACAAAGTGTAAATCTCATCAGCTACTACTCTCAAGTATGTGTCATATTTTCAATAATGCAGTATAATTTAGTTTATGGATCTCTGTTGTTCTGTCATCATGTATCCTCACAGAGAAGAGTCAATATTAGACTGCTGACCAAGAAACAAGACATGGGAGGTTTTCTAATGGAAACTGTTAATTATCCAGTTAAAGCATCAGTGCTGCTGCAGATTAAAGTCCTTATACCGTCACTTATGAATCTGCTGTGGAATTATTGAGATTTTCCATTAAAACATATTTCCCCTGGTCTTCAACGACATTTAAAACAATATTGGAGACATTTATTACTAACACCACTTACAATTTTGTGAAAAACTTATAACGACCGCAGCACTTTATTGATCCAGATATTGACCGACAACATAAAGGCTCCAGGCGTCTTTTGTGGTTCCCATGATTGCTGATCGTCACAAACAAGCTATCAGTCTGTAGCTGTCCCCCACAGGACCACAGCTGACCATTTATAAACTGAGCATGACAAGACAAAGAGAAAAGAATAAGGTCTAATGGAGGAGGCCTGATTTCTCTTTAGTGAGGGAAACCTTTTGGGACCTGTGACATACTGACCCTACAGACTCACGTGACAATGTGAGCAACACATAAAGCAAGTCAAATGATTACAAGCTTTAATCCAAACTGATCTATTAAATATAGATTTTTCATATGGAGTCAGAGCCGGGGTAATGTCTCTGAATTGTACTTGACTATATTTCAGTCGACTTCAGCGGGGCTCAGGCAACAGGAATTTTGGGCTGATCTAACCCAGAGAATCCAAAGAGAAATCTGGTCTGGAAGCTTGGTCGGGATTTTCAGGCATTAGCATTTCTGACAGAATTGAATGCACTTTGTCGGAAGATATCAGCGGACATTGAGGCTTAAAACACAGTGTAAATGACGCTGTTTCGAGTCAAATTTGAATGAACGGACACATGGAGAACACCACACGAGCAGTATGGTTATGTTATGTTTTTTCTGTTTTATTACATCTGAAGCTTTGGTCACTAATTTCTTCAATTGTGTTGGATTCTGCTGCAACACTGTTTACCCCTGAGACTCTTAAAGTGTTTAGTGGACTCAAACACCTCACCCACCCCTCCATCGGCATAGTGGTGAGCAGATGGTGAGTGAATTCCTATTTCTGGGTAAACTATCCCTTTAACAAGCTGAAATTGTATGATAGTTTGTCCAAGAACTATCCGAGTATGACCTTGTGTTTCATGCTCAACAAACAAAAGCTCTTTCACAGAACAGCTCCACTGATATCATTCATCACACCAACTTCTGCTGCCTAATGGCTCCTTATCTGTCTCAGCAGTCCACTGTTTTTGCACAGTTTTGTACAGTAGGTGTAAATCAATGGGACGAACAATATATCATCTGAGGTCAAGGCTGTGGTGTGACAGACCTGGGAAGCACGTATGATTCAGGTAACAATGAACTGGACAAACATTCACAGCCAATGAATTTGTCTGAAAAATGATATCGGCCCTCCACACACACACACACACACACACACACACACACACACACAC